CTTTAATACCCATCACCAGGCTAACCCATCCTCCCACCCCCTTCCCCTCTAGAACCCTCAGTTTGTTTCTCAGAGTCCATAGTCTCTCATGGTTCATCTCCCCCTCCGATTTCCAACATTTATTCTAACTATAAACAATGCAGTATGATATTTTCTATTCCAGGGTATTCTATTTCATTTAAAAATCCTAGTCACTATCCTTTAAATTTATTTCAGTACTTAAAAATGAGCTGTGACCTGCAATTTGAAAAACACTGATACAAACTATGGCCCTGAAACAGTAACAGGAACTAAGTCACACAGAAATCACATCTTAAATCCATTTACATAGGACTCTAACCAAACGAACAAACAATAATACTATACCTTTCAAATCAAAATTTTTCAATTTTTGAAGTTTCTTTCATGTTAAGTGTAGGGACATATTATTATAATTACAATATCACATATCTTTTGCTAAACTATTTTTACTTTGTTTATCCTTCCACCAGGAAAGTAATAGTTTGCTCTTCCTAGTTCGACTTAAGTACTTTTCTCCATGTCTTCCCAAGAAAGAAGGAAGAAATACTATTATCTATGATCCTCTCCAATTAAAACCTGCTTACTAAATTGAATTTGTATTCAGCTATTTTATATATTTTTTTATTTGACAGAGAGAAAGATAGCGAGAGCAGGAACACAAGCAGGGGGCGTAGGAGAGGGAGAATCAGGTTTCCTGTCAGGCAGGGAACCTGATGAGGGGCTCAGTCCCAGGACCCTGGGATCATGAGCTGAGCAGAAGGCAGATGCTTAACGACTGAGCCACCCAGACACCCCCAGCTTTTTTAAAGGCAAACTCCATATAATTGGCATAACCCAAATGCATTTTATAATTTTCTACAATATGATTACTTCTAAACATTAAGACATTTGTGTTTTGAATACAAATGTATATAAATGTAAATTGGGAATATTTCTACCTCCAAGGAAAGTTTTTAGAGGGAAGTGTTTTGCCGTCATTATTTTTACTGAACAATTGCTAGAGAGCAATAGCAGAAAAAAGAGCTTTCTAGCTCAGCTCTCACATTTGAAGTGACCTTGAACCAGTACACTCTCTCGTGAAAAAGCAACTAATATGGGCTAGCACATTTAAGTGTTAAAATAGTCAGATAAAGATATATCAACAATTTCTTCTAGAATTGTTTGAAAATATCATTAAGCTCTCTATAAATGTATAAAAAAATATATTTTTCTGATTTACCATAACTCTTGAGCACAGTCTTCACAGAAATAAACTTTCCTAATTTTATAAAACAAAATCTAACAGTAATCCCATGAGCAAGACAATTCAAACTTTTCATGTTCTTTTCAAAATTCTCATCTCATTTGAGATTGGGTTAATAGAAGAGAGAGCAGTTCATTTTCATTTCAGTATTCTTTCTTTCCTAGAACTATTTATCATATC